CTGAAGCACAATCTAGAAGTGCTACATGATACAAAATTTGTTGAAAATCACTTGACGGATGATTGCAAGTTCAAATACATTTGTAATAAAAAATGTGTCTGCATAATGTTTGTTATTTTTAGTTTTGTAGTATTTTCTATGCCCGAACACTTATTGTGTGGACTATTGAGGTTATACTGTAGATACTAAACTGGACTGTGGGTGTACTTAACGTTGGAGCATTTTCTGCAAGGGTTTGAAAGAACAAATTATGAGTGGCCGGCACATATGTACTTATATAAATATTATATGTATGTATATTTACAAGCTCACATACTTGTGTACATAATGTGTGTATGTATGTATTTGTGTGTGTGTGTGTGTGTGTGTTTGTGCATAATTACTACCCACACATTTGGTTTATTGCCGCAGCAGGCATAGAAATTGTGTCAACATAAGGCAACAACAATAGCAACATAAAGAAATAACAGTAGCATCACAACACGGACGCATACGAGTACACACACACACATACATACAATCCATTTACATACTATGTGCGCATTAGTGTGTGTCTGTGTGAGTGGCAAAGTAATTCCACGAATTTTAAGAAGCTGGCGCAAATCAAACTTACTAAGACGCAATTCGTTTTTAGAACAGCAGCAACAGCAACAAGAACAACAGCAACAGCTATATAACTAAGCGCCATACATGTATATATGTATGTATGTATGTACATACACCTTCAATACAGACATATTTAAGAGTATACGTACAATTTGTATTTGTTTTGTCATTGTTGCTGCGCTGCCGCAGAGGCGAAAGCGTTTATAACGTAAAAACGTAATAAAATGTAAAACAAGCGGATGAGGCAGCTACCTGTTGTTGGTGTTGTTGTTGTGTTGCTGTAGCTGCTGGTTGTAAGCGTGGCATATTCAAATATACGTTTTAGTTAATACTTATAGCGTATGCATAGTTGAGCAGAAGATAACTCTGACGCCTACGCTCACGCCCCTATGTACTCTACACCTTCAATAAGTATGTATATATGTATGTATGTATGTACATACATATCATGCATATCCTTAGAATCAGATTCGTAAGGTGCTGATTTGGAACCGCATTTCAAGCTGCATTTCAAATACTAGAGCTGTAGAGCAGCGGTGGGCACATAGTGGCTCTTTGGGCTCCCAGGGTTCTTTCCGTTATGTTTTGGTAACTGGCGACAGCCAGACGCACAAGCAAAGTACCGATCTCGAGCAAACTTACAATAACAAAATACACGCAGTGTTGTCGCCAGCCAGACGCACAAGTAGATCGATGCAATAACAAAATACACACAGTGTGTGTACTGATGATCGATTTGCGATACCCACTGACGGTCACTTATGCACTGACATTAAAAGTGTATTGACAAATTATAAATTATAGTGTTTCAGTAAAACTTTTATGATTTTCGTCAAGTTATTTACTTATAATCTTACTTATATTTGATTTAAAACTGAACAATGGCTAATGAAATTAATATTTCCGAGATTGAGATATATTAAAAATGTTTATAGGAATAAATTAAGTGACATAAATTTATCAGATTTATTACGAATTGCTTTAAGTGAAGAGGAAATAAACTTCGAAAAATTATTAAATGAATGTTCATAAATGTGATCAAAATTTTTTTCGGTGTACTTTTTTTTCCTAATTTTTTGCTCACAGTTTATGATGTTCTCATAACCCAAACGGTAGTTTTTGTTGTAGATGTTGTTGTAGGACTCCCAAACTAAAATTTCGTGCCCACCGCTGCTGTAGAGTCTGCAATTGAGCCCCTGTTCGAACTTAAAGTTTAATTTCGAACCTAAAAGGCACGTAGTAATTCATAAGTAGATTCCATAAGCAGTTCACATTAAATTTTACCTTTTAATCTGGTCAGTCGAAAGGTATTAAAGCACAAATTTTTAGGAAACTTGACTTCTGAAAATCGATTTTTTTATTATCTTGCGATGGATTTTACAGGACTTTTGTGGAACGGCAAAATCGGTCCAATTGTGCGAGCTTAGGGAGGGACTTTAATGGAAAGGAAGTTATATCGATAGTATCATGAGTGATTAACTAATTAGATCATTTTGAAACAGAAACACTTGGGAACTCTATAGTAGAATGCAGTTTATGTGTGAATTTGAAAAATTTGATTGATTTGATTCAACTCAAAGAAATGCTTGAAAATGTGAAGTGGAAAATGGGAATTGAAGCCTAAAAGTTGAGTATTTTTTAGTAACATTAGTAACATTGTGAGTTTCGTCTTATGGAATGTACACTGTATTTGCGGCATAGTCACGCAACAATCACAAACAAATCTGAGGAGTTGCGGCGATAAAGGCCGCATTGAAAAAATGTGTACACACACATATGTATGTGTGTGTGTGGGCGCAATTGTTACGCAGACAAATGTGGGCTGTTTATATTTAGGCTAGGCTCGACTCGACTTGGCTCGTTGACCATTGTACTTCCCTTACAGGCAGCAGCAGCTGATTATGCTCAACTACTTCCTGGCGTGGGCGCATGGCTCAGAGTCCTTGGCCAGCCCCCACGCGCTCCACGCTGCAGTAAGGATATCCGAGCTATGTTTTGTTCAGACTTTGCGTGTTTGTCATAAATTTGAGCGCGTTTCATACCACATACATGTGCATACACACACATACATGCATATATACAAGGCACGTGACTGTTGTGTCCACATATGGGACTCAACAATACGGCAGGTGGTGCATTGATATCGCGTTCGCGTTCCAAAACCTGACCCACTTGCTGCCACTTAATGTGACGCAAGGGGTTGCTCTAAAGGCCCACAAAACACGAACACTGGACACGTCAAGCTGATGGAGAATTATTTCTATTCCATATGTTCCTCAAATATTTAAACAACATTCGATTCTGATGAGCTGTCTATAAAATATCGTTAAGAAAATCGTCGTTTTTTGTTTGCAGTATGGGTTTATGAATCTATTGCGGTTAAGCGTCGCGGCTTAGTTTCCCGCTCAAAAGGCATCAATCAAAATATATTTTTAATTCAGTGTACCCAAGCCCTAGGCTGACCAAACACAAATGCTGACGAATTAAAAAATTATTACAACCCACAATCGCCGAGTATAGTACGGTTCAATTCAAAATAATACGTAGTAGTAGTTTGATCATCTAAATTTGCATAATGTATATACATTTTTTTGATGTATACGGATGTATTTTGGTTTAAGGATACCGTGGATCGACAGCTATAAGTATGTGCTAATAAGGATTTGCTGCCACATGCCAGCGAAAAAATTCCACTGATTTGGGTTTTTGCAAAGTATTGAGCAAAAGATTCAAAATCATGTACAATACTAATTGTCGGTCTTTAGATGCGTTACGAGACCTACAGATGAAACACCGCTAATGCCCAAAATAATGAAACTTTGGTTAGACAATTTCAAACATGTTTTTATGGACTGAAGTTATCGCTATATCTTTATGGTTTACACCTTAGTTCATTAAGAACATAATGAAACAAAATAATTGAAACATAGTAAAGGACCAATTCATACATTTTTGATAGAACTAAAACGCATCTGTAGGTACAATATAACCCAGACATGTCAATTTGTCTCGACCTGGTTATGTCCACAAATATACATACGAATATACATAGGTAGTAAGTGCATGGATTTGGTAACAACTCAATTGGTGTATTATCAGTGAGAAATCAAGAAAGTAACTGCGTTATGGGCGAGGGAACGAACGAACGAATGGCAGGCAGAGTGTGCGTTCATTTATGGAGCTGCGTCCCAGCGACGCATGTCTAATAAAAATATCTAACAAATTGAAATGGGTCACACATACTATAGTACTGTTTTATAGTATGTATTAGAGGTCTGCATGGATGCACTCATATGCTACGGCAGAAGGGGAGCACATTATATTACGAGGGCAATACGAAATGTTTCTAGCCGCCCATGAAATGCTAATATTGGGTTTGTTGTTCAACAATTGGAAATTACAATGCTCACATGGAATTAACTAATAAAGCCATTTAACCATAAGAATGAAACTATGCGTTCATTCATTCAAATTTCTTCAAATGACTCAAAGGTGCTGCACTCATGCAGCTCTCTAGTACATCGAGCTGAACCTGTACATGGCCTAAATATGGCCCACAATGGAGGAATGCCAAATTTGACGCATGACATGAAAACGCAACGAAATGAAACATAATTTTGTGCAACGACTAGAAGAGCACGAAGAAAAAGAGAGGGAGCAGACTACAAGGGAAACAAGAAATGGTTTCCACATTGCTGAAAACGCCCAAAGCCCACTTGACACACAAAACATGCACACACACGCTCAGTCAAAAATAAACACAGATCTGTGCATTTATTAAAGATTTTCCTTCTCCCTTGCCAACATTAGTGGCAAATTGTGGGGCATGAATAAAATTGTTTTGAATTATACTTGTAATTGATAATGAACTCCGTTGTTTGCAATTCGTTTTACAGAAGTGCGACTGTATCCATTGTAAGTAATATTAAATAGCCTCAGTAGCTGCTGACAATGAACTCACACACACAGATACACACAGACACACCCAACTCAGCCAGGAAGTATCTCAACTGACACGACACTTTGAAGTAGAAGGTGTTAAGTTGCGGCGCGTGTTTTGTGTAGGCAAGTTGAGAGGCTGCCTTCTTGTGGGAAGGATGGCATGTAGATTTTAAAAACTTCATTGTACGTAACTTCTTTATGGAAAGGATAATGAATAGATCTAGAGATTGCAGCAAAGTATATTCCTTTTAAACAACTGCAATGATGAGCGCCCCACATGAATGCTTTAATTAGTTTCAGTCCCTTGTTTTAAAACAATAACTAAAATTAATTTTTGTTCAGCATAATTCATATTTTCCTAAATATACAGATATGCACTTTAATCGTTAATTTACAATACATTTGAACTTTTCTGAGCGGCCTAAAGGTATGCAATGGAATTTCACACTCACCTTCAATAAAGTCAGAATCTTCTGCGACAAATCGTAATCGAAATTTGAATACTTTGAGCCACTCATATCGTATATAAAGACCAGTCCAGCCTTCTGCGTCTCCGGATTTTGCAGGGCGCAGTCCAACTGATAGACAATACCCTGCAATGTGGTCGTATGCGATACGCTCAATGGACTGTGACGATTGGCTGTGAAGAGCGCAATAGCGGCGCCACTTAATGTGCGCGCAGGCTGTAAAAGATATAATACAAAACAAGAAAAAAAGTAATATATATGGATTTAAAAGTTGAATATTGCGTTATCTTTTAACAATGATAAATAAATTATTGTTTCGCTTCTTGGAACTCTAAATTCGTGATCGGGTTTAATCAAAAAGGCACAAAAAACCCGACCAACAATTATACTTAAAAATTGGGAAACCCTTGAAACTATCCAATCCTATATATCCTGGGATATATAAGAACAATAAAAATGCCAATATAGTTAAAAATAAAGCATGGTGCGTTATTATTGAACAATAATAATTTGTAAAGAGGTGGTCCTTGTTGTGCTCGTACTTAAAAAAGCACGAAGAAATCTGACCAACAAATACTATATAGTTTAAAAAATTGGAAAAACTCCTAAAACTATCCAATCTTTCTATTCGTGAAAGATACGCACCGACTCTAGTAGGCAGCTTGCAGCTGGAGCGGTCATGCTTATCTCGCTGTGGTTTCTTGCTTGCTTAGCCTTAAAAGCCGTCCCTGCTGGCTATCCCTCTTGCTTACCTGCATTCGCTTAGCCCTCAGAGACCCTCAAGACTATTGCTTGATCCAGTTACTTTTTATGATATTATCAATTGTGAATAACGACAAATAATAAACCCACTGACTAATCTAAATAACCTACTCATAATCTGCGGCCCAAAGCGAACAGACTTGTAGAATGTTTTCCCCTTTATTATTAGGGAATTCTGGACAAATTTTGTCTCTATTTTACTTCTGCGATTGATTCACATTCACATTGAGTACAAAATGGCTTAAAAATAAGCTTAATCGGTCTAAAATTTATCGTTTTGCTTCTGCCTGTGTCTGGAGATACAAAGTTTAATTCCCTAAATAGATAACCCGCTCTTCAATTGAAGCAATTTAAATTTGAGATTTATAAACACCACTTCTGTGTATTCGCAATTATAGACGTACCAGTATTGTAAATTTGCCAGTTTGAAGCTCAGAACGCAACGGTTCCACATCCGGGTTAATATTAAATAGATATTCCTTTTGGCGTATCTGTTCATGTTGCTCATAAAGCGAAACCGCCCGCTCAACATCAAATTTTCGGGCATACAAGAACTTAACAGCCGTGCTGTGTGAAATGTTTCGCCTAATGGGCGGAGAATTTGGACTTCCGGCAGCGACTGTTGTTGTTGCTGCTGCTGCTGCTTGTGTTGTTGTTGTTGCAAACTGTGTGTTGTTCGAGGAAGGTCCTGCTGCGGCCGCTGTTGTTGTTGCAGTTGGTGTGGAGGTCCATGTTGTGCCCAGATTGTTGCAGAGATCAATAAATTGTTTCACAGCCTGCAACGAGGGAAGAGAAAATGTGAATGGTGAGAAAGACTTTAATAATAGTTTTAAATAATAATTGGGGCTGTATTAAGCAAATAAAACACCTGCAGAGCTGCATTGAAGTGCATTAAGCCCCTAGTATTCGTTTTAGACTCAATGTCTGGTAATCGACTAGGCTTATCTGTAAGCCATTCCCACTCATGAAAACAATCTCAAGTGAGCAAAAATACTTAGTTGTTTGCCTTAGCGGTATTATAGAGCAGGATCTGCTAATATCGTTTTTGAATGTAAAGAGAATACAGGCATCCGGCCACTGAAGAGAAGCAAAGTTAGGAGGATGTGTCCTTCAATTAAGCCACTGGACAAGGCCTTTGGTTTTAGTCATTGATTAAAAGTGTGTGCATTTTTGCGGGTGTCACCTCAGTTGTGGTTTGTTGCCAGCTGTCTCAAAGCGACCACAAATGAGTGGCAGCAACATGGGCTTCGCGAAACTGCGCTGAAACGCGTTGTAAGTTCCCGCTGCGCTGGATCTGGAGGCGTGTTGCGCTGAAGATTATGAGCTAGAGAACGTGGAATCGGAAATTTAAAAAAGCTTTGTAAGAACTGAATTTCTCCACTTTAAAAATATTTTTGGAATTAGCTTTTCTTAAGTCTGGCATTTGCTTAAATATTGTTGTAACTTTTAATTAGTATATACTAATCAAGTTGATGGGTTTTTTTTATAGTACTTTTATGCAATTGCATATGATTCATTTGGCCATCACTTATTTCCTTTTATTGATATCCGAGTATAGTGTGCGTTTGTACTTTCGATATCGTTCGCTTTGTTGGCGCCATATAAAGTGCAATCGCCCGCTAATCTGAAATTGCATTTCCGCCTCAAGTGCCAATGACATTTTTCGCACGTCGCACCAAATGCGAATTCCCACCGACGTCAAGAAAATATGAAAGCGTTGGTGATAGCGGTCGTTCGCTCCAAATGAAGCACTTGACCAGACCAGATAGATAAGCCATGTTGAGGTTTATTTGTAGATTATGGCTGCTATGTACGAGTACTACTGCAAATGTATTTGCTATTAGTACGAGTGGCACTAAAATTGCGAACACAAATTATGCTCAATGTTTATTTAACGCTTATGTCATGGCCCCTGCTCGTAGCAACAAATGCTATTTTAAGATAATGATTGGGTTTTCTCACTTTTATTTCAGGAATTGCCGGATTAGTTATTAGAAAATTTTGTAATATTTATAGGCTCTTTTATTCTTGATTTATTTAGTTCAATGACTCTATTGTATTGTTTTTTTTTACTTCGGCTTTGTAAAAAAACATAAACAGTTCTTCACTTCTGCACTGAAATATAAGTTCCTTTTCCATTAAAAGTTCTTAGAAATGATTTTTTTTTATTCCTAATCAGTATTGGTTTTGATTCTATGAACTCGTGTTTTTAGGAATTACAAATTTTCCGCTAATTTTTCCAGAGATTCTGTTAGTTTTTTTTTTCATTTCTTTGAGTCGTTTAAAATAATTTAATTGATGCATGTGCCACAAATGTCAATGCGATTAATGGCATATTTTTCAATGGAAAAATGATAAGATCTCAACTTGAAATGACGGTCATTAGGCGTCAATAAAAACTAAATCAATATTGTCGTTGACGGCTGACCGACTATGCAGTGACGAAACCGCGACATGTAGAGACGAAGTTTTGCAATAAATTTAATAAGAAAATTATTATTATTAGCTGACTTTGTTTAAAATACATCGCCAATCATAGCCAGAGAACTAACAAGGAATAAATTAGATTTGAAAGAAGGAGAGTTTATTTCATTTAAAAAAATAGGCACACAATGATATAGGGATATAAAAATCATAAGGAGATGGAAGTTCTCTCAGTTAGGAAAATATTAAAACCCTCTCTTAATTGTAGTTTTGCTTGTGTCTACTAAAATTGAATGTATTGGAAGTATTTGTCTTTCTCCTACCCTCTAATATTTTCCCCAGCAATTACGACAACAACTATTTATGTAAGTAACATATATCTGTAATAATTGATAAAGTTAATAATTGTATAATGTTGCTTTTGCTTTCCTTATCATCATCATAGATTGAAAGCTTACTGTCGTTAGCCCATTAACCCATAAAATATCAAAGTAGCGCCGCTGACTGCTGACCCAAATGAGAGGCAGAAATCGGGCTAAGAATACAAATATATGCATGTATGTAAATAAGCCTGATTTACAGTCATCATGATGAGTGTTCGGCAGAATTAAATATGCAAATGAATGCAAAACTCACACATGACTGGCTAATTAAATGGAAACTTTCATAGTCACCACTTATTGTCTTTCGGGCTGAAAGCAATTGGTAAAAGCATACATATATATGTAATATAAGAATAGTGGATATACTTACATACATATGTGTTTATATTTTAAACTGATATGTTTGTGAACAGTGCATTAATTAAGATCATTTACGGAAATCTGACAATTGATGGTATTCATAAGAAACAACAAAGAGTTTGAAGATGATCTCAGTGGGAAGATGAAGCCGAACGTGCTAACTAAAATTTGTGTCTTTAGGGGATGTACTCGGTTGGGGGTAAGCTATTGGCAAGTGCGATGAGAGAAGGTCGACCACAATTTCTGCATAAACACAATTTTTGCCAAAATAAAATGAGGAATTGCAGAAATCTAGAAAATCTCTATCACTATTTCCGCAATATTTGACCCAAAATCGCCTTCCTTTGGGATAAGATCGAATTTTTTGTTTATTTAATATTCTTTATTTTTTGGCGCACTGGCCGTGGAATTTCAGCCTTATATCTAGTGCATATTAGTGAGGGGGCAACAAGGTATATTAACGCTTTAATCCTTCCGTGATGGAATGCACTCTACAATTTCTGCATACAACTATTTTTTTATACAATGAGGAAGATATAGAATTAAAGACTTTCATTATTTCCGCAAAAAATAAATCGTATGCACATACAATTTGACCCAAAATCGGGGTAAGAATCAGTAAAAACCCATATTGGTGTACATTTACCACCAATGGAAGAGTTCGATCCACAAATTCCCTATATTTTTGCACAATTGAAGGATATGTGCTTATTCCGACTGAAGCAGTGAGGACAGAGTTTTATATACATAAGTACTATATGTAAATCGAAGTGTGTGCTCAATGCTGTGTATGTAAGTCGACCCTTCGACTGCATGTGCACACGTGTGTGACGGTTTGCAGTAAACCCAGTTTCAGCAACAATGGAACAAATTCTAATTGGCACTGTCGAATAGCAACTGTAAGTAAACACCTTTCTAGGAATCGCAATTCATTGAAATTTGAAATGTAATGGGAAGTCACGTTAAATTTTCTAGCAATACTTCCGTTGAAAAATTGTTAGAGCCATTGTGTGGAGGTGTGGTTGTGGGTGTGTGGGTCTAGAAACTTGTGGAAACGAGCAATGAAGGAAAAAAGAAGAAGTCGAAGAAAAAGGAACAAAAAATCAGCAACGCTTCCCATCAAGGTTCGCTGAAAATGATTCTTCCAATGTATATACATACTTTTGTATATGTATGTAGTCGTGCAATATTTGTTTAACAATTCACGGGCAATCATTCATTCATTCATTTCTTCGATTTCTCAGTGAGGCAGTTTGTCAACAGTCATTCGTGTAGCCATTCATGCCCGCTCATTCATTTTCACTTAAAAACTAATGAGACACTTGAGATTCAAGGCACGACTCAGTAAAAAGGGCAGCGGCAGTCGGTGGTCGGCGGTCGACTGTCGGTCTTCAAAAGCTTTTATGTCGGCTGACCATTTTCAATGTCACCAAAAATAGAGCTACCCGTATGTACATACCATGCTACACATATTTGTATACTCGTATATAGTATGTACAGACATACATATATGCATGTGCTTCCAATTCTGCCACTTAGTTTGGAGCGAATTGGAAGGCTGTTGCGGCAAGCATAGAACTACGACAATAACTGTTCTCAAATAAAGCCAATATGTACAATTAACTGTTCACAAATAAAGCCAATAAGTAATTGCTTCTATTGGCAAACATAAGTTATCTTAACTGATAACTAAGTATTATAAAAATTACTTTAAAAGATATGTTTTAATCTGAGAACAGCAAATTGAAAAGGGGACTTTCCTAATTTAAGAACTAATGGACATCGATTCAAATTGATTATTCAAATGTTTGTGGATTTACATAGATCACGGTGTACTCGTATGATATTGTAAGTCTTAAGTCGGTTCATCTTCCATATCATGCAGCGATTTAGAACCAATATAAATATTGCGAATTTCGTTCTTAAAATTATAACCATGCTGCTGTGTTTGAGACGGATCGGATATAATCAGGTTTTCTGAAAAATTTATGAATATATGGAAGAGTCCCATATAATATGAACCTTTGAGAATACTAAATTCATTCTTTAACGAAATTATTTGATGTCTTCATTAATCAGATACAAACGGAATATAAGGAAGTTCGTTGCTATAGTGAATTATGTTGCTCAATCTAAGACGGATCGAATTATGTATGTATATAATATATCATATAGTATCTGTCATAGGAACGATTAGACTTAAGAAAATATTGTTCATTTTGAAGTTAACAGAATTGGTTTTTAGAAATTTTGGAGTTTTTTAATGAATGATAACATAGCATATATTATAGTGATCTCAACCACGTTATCTAATGTATATGTATATATAATGATTGATGTTACAAAGTTTCGGTTCAGTTGGAAGTAACATATAAAAGAAAGCAACAGCTTGTATAACAAATCATTTTGATTTATAAAGATATCGGAAGATTAAATAAGTATAAGTGAGTTCAAAATAAGTACATGTATTGTCAAGTTGAAGCCGGATTGCAATATAATATACATATGTATGTACATACATAGGTATTGTTTGGACGTTACGCACGTACTCGTATGTATGTATATATGTACATGTATATACATAGCTGTTATTCCAAGGCGTGTAGTTG